TACCTCCAAAAATGGAGGTTTTTATGAATAAAAATAGTTTCTTAAAGAACTTTTTTAAAAAAGTCCCCTCAGATGATAAAACAAATTAGGCTTAAAAATTCTGCATACAAATATTTAAAAATCTTATCAACGGAATCGTAGTAATGATTTTTTTAATTTTTGATGCTGCTTTTTCACTTTTTTCAAAGATTGATTTACGAAAAACTTAAATAACTGGGCCAAAACTATTCTCATTTAGACTTAGGGGATCTCGATAGAAAGGTATTTTCCCACTATTTTTATTTATGTGCAAAAAAAGTCATTCGTGTCCCAATATTTTTTTTTTAAATACGAACACATCTTAATTCAACTTTGCATAATATTCGTTCATCGTACCTTTCTTTTTCATCCTTTGAATGAGTTTATTAACAAAGAAATAAAAAGGGTGAGAAAATACCTTTCCAATGATATCTCATAAGTCTAAATCGGGAGAGTTTAGGTTCAGTTATTCAAGTATTTCTTATACCAATCTTTGAAAAAAGTTACAAACAGCATCAAAAATCTCATTATTACGATTTCGTTCAAATTTTTTTTTTTAATTTTTTAAAAATATTTTTATGCAAATTTTTGAAGCTTAAACCGTTTTGTCATTCGAGGGGATTTTTTCAAAAAAAATCTTTAAGAAACTATTTCTATTCATAAAAAAACTCCATCTTTGGAGGTATTTTCAAATCGGTCCAGCTCACTTAATATTTTTTCGAAATGTTTTGGTGGACGTCTTAAAATATAATAGATTTTATAATTCCAATGGAAAAACAGTACCGATTTTTTTTTTGTATGGGGAGTGATGCAGTCTAGTAAACAAATATAAAATGTAATAAAATAGATAAATAAATAATAAAATATAAATAAAAAAATGTTTTGGTTTTCCTATTGATATTTTATGTTTTAGTTAGAAGTTAGTTGATCGCGATAGATATATATTAAGCTTTCGTCAAAGAAAGTAATCAACTTAAAGTTAGCTTATAGTTAGATACATTTCCTGCAGGGTACTAGCAGCTTATGAATTTGCATACTCAATTTTATCTACCACGTTGGTTGGTTAGTAGTAGTTTGCCTTTTAAGTTTGGCTATGACAAATGTCGCTAAATGCATAGATGAAGGTTGTTAGAAATTATCGAACTGAGGGTCAATTCCCGTTCTGCGTTATCGTGAAGTGAAGTGAAGTGAAAAGTATAAAATTAACACCGAAATAAATGCGGTGTAAAGGTGTTATTTTTATCACTTCACGATAACGCAGAACGGGAATTGACCCTCTGGTAGGCTACCGCATCAGATTAATCAGTTAATGAAGTTTTCGGTCGCTACTACATTCAAACATACATATGTAAATATTAACTAGTTAATCTATGTGAATTTTTACTAACTGATTTGATTTTTCCCTACTGGTTATGCATATGCAATGTAAAGCTTAGACTATTAGTTTGCAGCTAACTTCTTGTAATGCCAAGTTCATTGCCATGTTTATTGAGTTTTTTAATTTGTTTTGTATTTGCAGAAAAATAAAAAACGGTGTCGTTAATTTTATATTTTTCGTGTGTGTCAAAGTTGTTTGTACTCTTAATGCTCCCAACTGGGTAATTAATGTTAAATTATGTCTTAATGAATATTAAAGTTATTCCAGTATCATAAAAAAGATATTTGGCGTTTATAATTTTGCTAAGTTTTCGGAACCAGCGAAGTCAATTTTTGCTGTAAGTTTTAATGTTGCCACTCAAATGAACTGACCTACTGTTTTATGCTCCCTTCAAACGGCTGATAGTTTTAATTTTTAATTATTTGGCACTACACTTTGTGGATTTGGACCCAGACCTCAGCAGAAGAGAGCTCCAGTTAGTGGAACGTGGGGAAATGTTAGTATGTATATGAGACTTATTTGTTCTTGCCATTGGATTGATTTTTTACATGGCGGGTCCTGAGTTCAGCGTGAAAAGGGTAAGGTTTTTAAAGATACTACTACTAGTTGTTTGATCGCGTACTTCCGATTTGTGCACATTGAAATTAAATTTATCTATAGGTACATTAGGGTGGTTCAAAACAGTAAAGTCGGAATTCTTATGCTCTCAGCCCTAGGATTGTTCTATATCGAAAAAAGTATCTATTTTTTTAATTTTGAAATCAAAAAATATTTAGAGGAGGCTCAAGGCACTCAAAGTTTCTCATGTATTTTTATATGGGAAAAAAATTTTTTCGCAGAAATGGTATTGAATTCATGAAAATCAATGTTTTTCGATCGGAAAACTCTGGTTCTCTTCAGGACACTTTCAATAACAATACCCAATTGTTTATTTAACCATTTTTTGATCCTAACGATTTTTTATTGGTCCCCCCATTGCAGTTATAGGGGTTTTTGTGGGTTTTTCGCGGGCCTATAAATTATGGTTGCGATGAAAAAATGCTTAAATATACAACTGATATTATATTTTTTGATTTCGAAATAAAAAATAGGGGTAAATTTTTTCTACATAGAACAATCCTAGGGGAGAGAGAATACCAATTCCGCCTTTACTCCCCCCTCCACATGCATTTTTGGACCACCCTAATGTACATACAATTCATATCCCTAAAAGCCAGTAGTTCGAAATCTAAAAGAGTAAAGCCATAGCTCAATAATTTCCAATTAATTTTTTTTTTGCCCGAAATAACTAAACAATTTTGATACAATTTTAATGTGTATAATTAAAAATTCTAAACATCTATTAATTGTTTATTCCACAAACAGGGTCATTAGATATAGAAGATTTATGCAAAAGCAAACTATCACCGCTCTGCTTGTGAATTGCGAAATTAATAGTAAGAAACTACGACATTTTCGGTACGTACGTACTGCATCATATGTATGCATAAAAATCAAAACAAAGATGCAGAACGAGATTTCGAAAGAATTCGCTTAAGATCTTCTTATGTAGATTCACGCAAACCAATACACACGTAAGCGTACACTTGCGCAGGCAAATTATTTAACACTTTTTGCAAAACATTTATGCTCCAACTACGAATTTTGCGGACCGTTTAAGTGTATAATTGTCAGAAGCGACCACTTCAGTACAAATTTGGCACGCGAACGCTAAAGGCGTAACGGCAAAAACGAAATCCGCGAAAACAGGAAGTGTTCTTTTTCTTAATTTAAAGAGTGGCGGAAGTATAATTTTGAAATTAAAATTTTTTTTTTTATTATCATCATGTCAAAGCATGCAATTATTCTACTTTTACTTGGCGCCACAACAATGTTGTTGCAACATACAGAAGCGAAACCATTTCTTTTGCTGCCAAAAAATTTCTTTGTGCTTACCACTAGAGGTATGTATATAATATGTTCATACATGTAAGTCCAAACTTCAAACTTTTTACAAAACTTCGGAAAATTCGACAAAAGTTCATCAAAATTTCAAACTTTAATCAACATGTTGTTGTACAGTTTTGTAGTCTATTAAATTTTAGTATAATAAAGTGCAAGTTTGAGCTATGCTTTTTTAAAAAAAAATTATATATGTACATTAAATAAATAAAAAATCGGCAAAAATTGTTAAATTGTCGCATCCCTTTTTGTTTGTACATACCTTACGGGGAAATGTGAATTTACAAAACCTGTGATTTAATCAAGCCAAGTCGAATGCCTCAAAAACATGAAGTTATGGAAATATTTTCTCGAAACTTTTGAATTAAATATGTACGTACTACTTTAATAATATTTAATTTGGCAGAATAAATAGAACGAAATTTTGGAAATAGCGGACATTTTTACTGCTAAGACGAAAGATATTCCATTTTGCAGATGTTAACTTAAATTGAAACAAATTTTTTAAATTTTTGATAACCTCTTCAAAACTGTTCGCCATAAAAAGTTTTCTTAAACAACTTTCGTTCGACATCTATATTATACCTAATATTTCATTGAATTGAAATTTACGTTTAAAGCTTGGAATCCAGCTCTCAAGAAAAATCACAAGAAATATTATTCAAAAAGCACTTTTTGGAAATCCACTTTGCTTTTGCTGTAAATTTTCTTGAAGAGATAAATATTGGAGCATTTTTTTCTTGAGAGCTGCAAACTGATTCAAGCAATTTTGATCGAAGAAATTTGGTTGTTCTTCTTCTTGAGCGTCATTTTATATGAATTTTTGGTTTTCTAGAGAGCTGGAAATAGCCCTTAGGCAGGAAACGACTTTTCAAAAAACTTGTTTCGTGCGACCTACGTAACTGATTAAATGAGTTACTATTAAACATGTGGAAACCCTCACAAATATTTTCGAAACCACCCCTCTCTTATACCTCTTTTGATTGACATCCATATTGTAATACCTCATATGGACCATTGAGTGGAAGATCGACTTATCTCAGCAGCCAGTTCTAAAACGCTCTATCTAAAAAACATTTCAAGAACGCCCTATTTGATTGAAAAACACCCTATTTCAAAATTCGGCTCAAAAATGCTCTATCTCGGCTGCCGATTGAAAAACGAATTTCAACATACTTTCAAATTCTGAGATAGGACGTTTTTCTTTCAAATTCTGAAGTAGGGCGTTATTGAAAAGTTTTCTAAGATACTTCGAGATACTTCGACTTTATACTCAACTGTCGATATATTCCGCTTATGATAAAATTGGACTTCTATTGTAAACAGGTTGCAACCGTCTTCAAAATATTTTCTAAATAAAACATTCTTAAACGTCTTTAGTTTGTCACCCATATTGTAATATTCGATTAAACCTATTAATAAAATAAATTTTAAATTATTAAAAAGGTGGCAATTTCGTTGAACTTGTAATTTAAATTTTAAAGTAGGTGGCAACCCTTTTCAAAAAATTTGTTTGATACCAATAATAAAATACTTTATTTAACTTGTTAATTAAATTGATTTAGAAAATCATATACAACCTCAAAATAAATCGCGCATTCTTATACATTTGTAGAATATGTTTGTATAAACAAAAACTTGTTTGCTTCCGTTTTATTTTCAGCGCCTTCCACATCTACTACCTCTTCCTCCTCCTCCTCCTCTTCAAGCTTTTCAGCATCTGGTGGTCTCTTCCAGCTGCCTGTAAATCTTATAAGTCGGAAATTGACTTTGGTAACTAATTTACTTTCCTCCTTTGGTGGCAGTGGTGCGGGCAGTGGCATCTTAGGTAATAAGCTTGGATTCAAGTTCAATACAGCAACGACTACACGCCGACCTAGAAGAACAACAACGGAAAGAAGCACAGAACCGAATACTAGTTTCACACCGGAAGTAACTACAAGTGCGCCAAAAACAACCACAAGCTATGCCACTACTATCACAACAACAGCAACAACCAGCAGCAGCAGCAGCACCACCACCACCACCACTACTGAGAGACCTTCGACAACTATACCGACAACAACAACAGCAACGACAACCACACCAGAGTCGTTAGTAAGCACAACAACTGAGGAGACTGAGGAGATCGTTGGCACTACAACAGGCATTCCGTTGATCATTAGGCCAACAGTGCTTCCTCAGCATCCAGCAATCATTTCAACAATAGCAACGACAACCACACCAGAGTCGTTAGTAAGCACAACAGCTGAGGAGATCGTTGGCACTACAACGGGCATTCCGTTTACCATTAGGCCAACAGTGGTGCCTCAGCGTCCAGCAATCATTACAACAACAGCAAGAGATCGTGAATCCACCACTGAGTTGAACAAAGGTTATGGCTATGAAAAACCGTGCCAGTGCCATAGTGATAATGAAATTTTCGATGGTGATATAAGGGCCCGTTTCTAATGTAAGCAGATAAATTGTTCCTCACTTTAAAGTATTTTCCTACCGGTAAAAATAAATTTTTTATTCCGAAATTACGGCAACGCTATAGTGAAACTTCACTACATTCCTCATAAAATTTCATAGGTTGGTAATGCAATATAAGCAAGTAAAGAGAAAGAGCCACTGTAAGCAAACACCAAAACCTTGGTTGAAATATCTAATATATCTGAGACCCACGAACCAAAACCAAACCAAATTTTAAAGTTGGCTACAAATTTTTAAACGCTGTACTGGGTGAGCAACAATTTATCGATTCGAGAAATTAATACGCTCGTGAGGAAACGAAAACTTGTATATCGAGGCGATAAAGTGGCCGGTGATCTGAAGGTTAGATGAGAAAACGGCCCTAAATAGAATGTTTTTACCTATTCCATACCATCACAAGTAGTGCATAGTTGTAAAAAAAAAATGTTCCGGGTAGCGGGTGTGCACAGACTAGTCCAAAAAGTGTTGTATATTTAAGCTAAGTTAAGCGTAATCCGAATGCAAAAATGTATGCATAAATTATTGTATATATAAACGATTTTACTAAAAAATTAGAATAAAATGGAAATAGTGAGTCATTTACTTATGTAGATATTATCTGTATTAAAAAAAAAATAAAAAACAAAAACAAAAAGTTCCCTTGATCAACCAGAAGATAGACAACGTCGTACTTAATTGCATAACCAATATATATTCAGCTTAGTGTGAATCGTTTTGCTTCTGGTGTTTCTCGCATTTTCTCATTTGGTTTTATTAAATATATTATATGATTATATCTTTTCATACTTTAAAACTTTAATTTTCATTTATGTTTTGCTTCCATAAATAGCTTCTTTTAACTAGTAACTTTGTTCTTATTTTGAGGTTGTCTTCGTTTTTTGTTTTTTATTTCCAGTGCTTCTTTTATTACGTTTCGTTATTTTCATGAAACGTGCATGGCATAAAAAGTGAAAGGCGCGCTTTGTCGGGCAAACCAAAAACAACTATTAGTCGCACCATGGCTATAACTTCGATGTGACCATCTGTCCTGTATTATACGGGACAGTCAACTTTTTTGCCCCATTGTCCTGGTAATTTATTTATTTTATACGGGACGCCAATGTTCTGTATTTCTTTTAATGTCCTGTATTTATCCCGTATTCGGTGTTGCGACGCCTTAACAGCTCATTTAAATGGCATGCCTATGAACGAGTTTTAAGTGATGTTGGTATATGGTCGCAATTTTCTCCATAAACAGTTATTATTTTCTAATCTGAATGCCTACAGTGACCAAAATAGAAATTAGGACTTGATATTTTAATAAGTATTTATTTTGTGAAAGTAAAGCTATTTTCCACCACAGCACAGACAGTAACAGAGTCACAAAACTTAGGTCATCACTTTTGTGATTTCTAGTCCGCCGAGAAATGTGTCACAAAAAATTCGATTTTGAGTGCTAGAAAAATACACAATTGTAGCGACATATTTTTTGCAGCGGCAATCTTTGAGGCGCAGTAGAAATCACAGCAGCGATGAGTTAAAGTTTGTGACTTTGTTAGAATACGGCTGTTAATAGAAATTTTCTTGCTGGTTTTGTCAGAGTCCGTCTAAAGCTTTTTTTTTATATACTATGTATTAGCCATGGGTAATAGCGCAATTTTTTTGGCGCTAGCTTAATAACGCCAGCGCCACCTGTGGTGTCAGCGCACTTACTCAGCGCAATAGTGCAGTGTACTGAATTGAACACGGTGCCATCTGAGTGTCACTACAGTACCCATCGTCATACAGTGTAGTACACCATACAGTGGTGTCATGTCTATTATTTCTATAATTTTCGGCGCTGAGCAATGCTTGTACCGCCAACCAAATTTAATTGATAGGAATGTAGTAAATGGCACGATATTCTCATCATTCTTGAGTAAAAGCTTTAAATTTGCGTTCTCAACGCTCAAAAGCAAAAACAAAGTACGTGTAAATTTTCAAAGGCGAATTGTGTTGGTGCCTCATGTGTTGCTTGGTGTTAATGGCGCTGGCGCTTTCCATATACTGGTGTTGGCGCGGCGACTCTGGCTACGGTGTTACCGTAATTGCGCCGCGCAGCGCAGTGTTACCCATGCCTACTATGTATATTGATATGTAACCCTGTTTCGGGAAAACATCGGATTCTTTTTTCACTTGTAAGTATGCACAATATTCTAGGAAATCTAGTTAAAAATATCGAAATTTTTATGAAATTAATTTTTGTGAACTATTTGCAAGCTTTGGAACTTTTATTTATGTGGTATCTGATATGGATCAACTCATATTTGATATGAAAATTATTAACAAGAAATAAATAGAGATAAGTTTCCAACGGCATCATTTTAAATTTTGCTACTATTATTTTGACCACAACTGTATCTCTTACTTTGTTTTTATGGTTTTGTTAATTATATGTTTACGTGCACACATATTTTTGTGTAAATTAAAAAGTGTTGCCATGAAATAAACGAAATTTATCATAAGATTATAAATAATTTGAGCATTACCTCGTTGAAATGGATCACCTTTGTTAATATATGGCTCGTAGTTGGGCTTTTAAAGCAAATCCTTAATTTCTCATTTGTCGCGTTAAATTTTTGTAAATCCCGTATTTTTGGGACAAATTATTCATTTGTCCCAAGGCTGAACAAAAATCTGGCAACACTATTCTGTAGTTGGACTTTTTTTTTAGTTTTGAGTAGCGTCGCTATTGCAAAGGACCATCGATATATAATTATGTACATACATTGTACATAAATATGTATTAACATTATTTTAACTTCACATCTTAAATACACTATAAACACCCAACAAAACATATTTAACTTAAATCACAATTTAATAAAACTGTTCACTAGACAGCAGAAAACGAGCAACAAACACTAGCGAAAGTTGAAACACGACTGCGGATACGGAATTGGAGATGGCAGAAACACAGGGAGAAAGGAAATCAAATTTTAAATTATAATACATATTCAATGTAGTTGTGACACAAACCTCATAAAAAAGAAATTAAATAAAAAGCATGTATGTACTACTAAAAGTATTTCACATGACTCATCCTTTGATTAGGTCGAAATTTTTGTAGGCACCAGTGAGTCCAGATTGTTAAAAAAAGCACAATTTTTGAAAAAAAATCGCCAAAAATCGCCATTTTTTTTTTATAAAATTCATGAAATCGATTTAACAAATCTTTTATTTAAAAAATGAGATCTTGTTATAATACAGTTTTTAAAGCTAAAAACGAATATAATACGTTCAGAGGGTTATAATAAATAACACAAATCACTTATATAATAGTGATGTACAAACAATCTTCATGCATGTGGTTTTTAGAATAAAGAAATATGCAGATTTTATAGACCACGGAGCACCCCGATTTTTGCGAGTTATTACTAGTGTCCATAAATGTTAAACACGGAAAATTTAGGATCTGTGCAGATTCCTTCTAATTTTTCAAAAAAAAAAAAATTTATGGGGCTGTACCACTGTGCGACGGCTTAAATACGACTGAGGAAACGGAACTGTTGACAATAGGAACAGCATACATTTTCACCAGTATCAAATTTATTAAAGGTTTTTCAATAATTACACAAACCATGACACCAACCAATTAGATTCATTTAGTTCACAGGGTGGTGGCAAAAAAGCTGTGACAGAAGTTATGACTGCATGTATGTGATATTTTCATACAAACATAAGTATGTACATACATGTGTAAAGAACCCTAGTTTCCTTAAATTGTTTTCTTTTATTTGCAGTTTAAAGTATATGCATTCATGCTTTCCACATCCACTTGAATAAATGGTTGCAAAATCTTAGCACATGTATCTTCCTGTGTTTACAAAATCTTCGGTGCGCAAAATACTCGTGGTTAGTGCCGTCGCTGGTATTGATGGGAAATCGGAAAATATAAAATAACAATTTTAAAACTAGTTTCCTTTCTCTCTGTGTTCCTTTCTTCAGCAGTTCCGCATCCTCAGTTTTACATACTTAAATCGTCGTTTGTATAAAGTGCGCGTGTGCTCGGTTTTTCTATTGTGAAAANTCAGTAGTTCCGCATCCTCAGTTTTACATACTTAAATCGTCGTTTGTATAAAGTGCGCGTGTGCTCGGTTTTTCTATTGTGAAAAGTGAAAAGTTTAATAAATAAGTGATAAAGATTAAATATTTAATGTGCAAATGTCTTTTAATTAGTGTACAAAGGCGTTTTAAGTAGCAATTTCAATTTATGTACATACATAGTTCAATATTTGTGTTGTGAAAAGGCTATGCATTGAAGTGATTGCAAGTCATTGTAGTGCCATTTTGCAAGGTGGCGGCGCAGCTTAAAAAGAAAAGGTAAGATGTGGAAATGAGCTCTAGCAAATTGGGTTCATTTAAGAGTATTTATTTGTATGTACTTACATTAGGGTGCCCATCGAAAATGTGTATGGTAGAGCTTCTCCTCCGATTTGTGGCGTGCGCCTTGTTTTACGCCGACTCCGAACGGCGAATGTATTTTTATGAGAAGCTGTTTTCATGACAGAAATGCGCTCGGAGGTTTGCCATTGCCTGCCGAGGGGCGACCGCTATGAGAAAAAAAAAACTTTTTTTAATTAATGGAGGGGTCAATAAGTTGGCTTTTTGGTTAAAATATTGGCGAATAAAGTCCAATGAGTCAAAATCCGACCAGTTGACATTAGGGATATTCTCTGAGTCTTGCAAAGCCCTTGCATGGTGCACAGATTGCACGGATTGCACGGCTAAAACCGGTTTTCGTATGGGACAGCTTTGCAAACCGTGCAATCCGTGCACCGTGCAAGGGCTTTGCAAGACTCAGAGAATACCCCTATTCACCCTCAAACGAGATACCTGCCCGCCCGTCAAACTCAATGGTTTGTACATATACCTATACCTCATAGCAACGAGACTAAATATCTTGGTATGTACCCCGATAGAAAGTAAACCTGGACAACGCATATATTTACAATACGAAAAGCTCTAGGACCTAAACTCACTAACCTGCAATGACTTATGAATCGCAGCTCTCAGTTATCTATTGACAATAAACTTCTCCTATACTCTATTATTATAAAACTGATCTAGAGTCTAGACCTACGGAATTCAGTTGTGGGTAACTCTAACACAGAAATACTTCAAAGATTTCAATCGAAAACTCTCAGAAGTATTGTAAATGCACATTATTATGTCAAAAACCAACGCATGCTGTCTCTTATAATCTAAGACTGGAAACCCACTCTAACCCATTTATATTTAACAGAAATGACATCCTGCCGAAACGTTTTCACCAGACTGAAGAGAAAATCCACAAAAGATTATACAAGTTGATTGCGCGAACACATTGGTTGGTCTAATGGGTACACTCCATGCAAATGTAAAAAATAAAAAATAAACAATGGACCAAAATTAAATCATTTATTTCATTTCTTCTTAACTGCTGCTGCCAAATTAGAGTAAAAAACTGACCCTAAAATGTTTCCGGCTAAAATCATCAAATTAATTTACCGTTTCGGTCCAAACAGAAAACTAACCACCAAGAACAGTCTACTTAGTTACGTATATTACTAGTTAGACGGGTATATGTATGTATGCATATATCGACGGCTGAGTGGAAGATCGACCTATCTCGGCAGCCAGTTCAAAAACTTCCTATCTCAAAAAATTGATTTCCAGAATTTGGTCGAGAAATAGCCTATTTTAGAATTCGGTTCAAAAACGCCCTATTTCAGCACATTTTCAATACGTTTTGAGTTGAGATAAGGCGTTTTTCAATCAAATTCTGAAATAGGGCGTTCTTCAATCAAATTCTGAAGTAAGGCGTTCTTGAATAGTTTTCTGAGGTAGGGCATTTTCGAACCGGCTGCCGAAATAGGTCGATCTTCTACTCAGCCGTCGATATGTACATAGTTCCGGCTAAGATTGTTAATATTGTCGAAAATATCGCTTTACGATATACCGAAATGGCGAAACTGAAATAATCGTCTTATCGATAATTTGTAAAAATTTAGCCTGCAGACTTCCGGCAATTTAAAAATTTAACTATCAGAATTTTAATCGTAAAAAATCTTAGCTAATGTTTTCAAATGAGAATGTACGTAAGGACACATTTTGTAATATATACTTATGTATTCATTAATTAATACCTCCTTTAAGCTATTGCGCTGTTTAACTAACATACGTAAATTCAAATCTCTTGAAATGATATAAAAAATTAACAATATAAATACAAAAAGTATTCTTTCTGGGAACTAGGCGATATTTGTGCATAAAACATTGATATCTGATATTATCGTTCGAAAAATATCGCGCCAATAATATCGGATAGGAGAAAAAAATATCGTCAATATCGATATTTCGATAAAATATCAACAATCCTAGTTCCGGCATCATTTGGAAAAATAATGAAAGCTCAATGTTGATAAAAATACATATGTACATATGTATGCATTTATGTATGCATGTTTGCACATAAAAGCGGAAATAAACTAGTCAATAATACTGAATTCCCCCCAGCCATTGATATTGATCTTCTGCTTTATTGGTAATATTTGTTTCAATCCGCCTTTTACTCTTCCTCAACATTCATAAGTAAGTTTGTTTGATTGTTAGCAATTTGTAGTCATCTTCGGCAGATACGGAAGATTAATTCGTGGTACACGTTTTGGTGTAAATTAGTTGAGTCAAGAATTTAATTGCAGATGCATATATTTAAATGTGTTCGAATACCTACTTATGTATTATGTGTATAAAAATATGCATGCAAATACATATGTATGTATGTACATTCATACATACATAAGTTAGCGCAGAGCTTGTATTTAACATCTTTTAGTATGCCAGTGAGAATTGATTAGACAATAATAATAATAAAAAACAGGTTTAAAACTGCTGTTTCAATTACTAATTTAATGAAGATGTTTAAAAATTTATACTTTAAGGTACTTTAGTTGCTCTAAGAGTCAATAAAAACGACGTTGTAAAGTGAAGGTAGAAAATGATGAAATACATAGAATCCTAAATTACCTGTAGGCCTAACCCAGTAGAACTTGGGAGCATCGTACGATTGCTCGGTGGGTACTCCCTTGGGAGCATACGAATACTCCCCATTGCTCCCTATGCTTCTGTATATAAGCATGTAATTTTGTATACTCCTTTTAACATTGTATGTCCTAGGAGGGGGAGTAATCCCTTTTACCTCCTAAACGAGCAATCGGGAAGCACACACATAAATAGCATCCCACAAAGCTCCTAAGGGAGCAATACGGGAGTACTCACAGAATAAGCTCCCAGAAACCTCCCAAAAAGACAAAAAGGGAGTGCACAAAGAAAAACATCCCACATTCCTCCCAAACGAGCAATACGGGAGTACTCCCATAAGAGTCATCCCGCAAATCTCCTTTACGAGTAATAAAACAAGGTTTCTATACTCCCTAATTCCTCCTCATGGAGTAGTAGGAGAGTACTTCCTAATTGCTCCTTAACGATCCACTACATAAGCTAAAAAGATTTTGCTATTTACGTAATCCATTTATTTAAGTTTTTTATCGCATGTGCACATTAATATAAAACCTTACAATAATAAACAGATAAAACATGCAAGATAATGCTTACTAAATAACAGTACAGAAAAATGTATGAAAGCTAAAGATTATAAACTTAAATCGGTACGACGAAGGTATGTTTGGGATTGGTATTCACCTGGGAGTCCACAGAAACGAAGCGCATCAAAATGTTAGCAACTTCCGGACGATTTCAGCAGGATCAGAGAATTCTGATTACCACATACAGGCCTAGACGATTTTTAAAATGCCGTTTATTTTGATAAATATCATGCCAGGCGAAACTAAAACTAATACTTGAAGGTATTTGTATACTCAGAACTCACCATCCCTTAATGACAAAGGCTCTTAATGGCTAATGGATTTCGAACCCAATAAAAGTTCTCGCCTGAACAGGGTAAGAAACGTAAGAACTGGATCATTTTAAGCGCTGGCACCGCCATCTGAAATGCAGTTTCAGTTAAATAATGAAATATTTAATAAGTTTAAACAAATTTTGTCATACATACCGATGGACTTTAATGTGGGCTGCCCAATTTATTTTATTATTTTTTCGTTCGTATAAGTTATATATCTGTCTTTTGTTTTCTTCATAATACATTTTTCCAAACATACTTTGCTCTACGCACAAACACTAAGGAGAGGGCGATGAGAAGGCAACATTTTTTTGTAGAAACGAAATCGCCATTACCGATTTTTGGCGCACGATATTCTTGACCAGAGATACAATTTAATTCAAAGTTCCTATCCAATTTCTTTCCTGTGAGTTTTCACGAAATTTAAAATATGCTTAGGATTATTAAATTATGTTTAAAAGGATATATGTACGCATATCACGCATTAGGGAGGTAGATGGGCTAGAGATCTATATAATTTTCTGTGTTCTATTTAGTGAACTTCAAAATGGCCATTCGCATAAAGGAGTAGAGTCCGATCGATTAATCGGCCGATGTCGAGGCTAATATCGGCGAAAAGAATCGGCATCGGCCGTTTTTGGCCGATTCTCGAATGAGGTAATGTTATGTAGTTATTTGTTTTTTTTTTTGTTATTATAAAAGTTTATAAAAGCATTTGTTCTTGAAATGAATATATATTCAGGATTTAATCGACCGAAGCATTGGCGACAAGAAATATAAAAAATGTGAATGAAAAGAAAGTGTCGAATTTCGATAACTGGGTGATACTAGTTTTAATAAGAGCCTGTCAGACGTGGCAATGCAACAAGCAGTAACATGAGAGATTTTTTATTTCCGAAAGGCAAGTTGCAGATTGCTACTGCAGCACGAGCAAGTTGAAATATATTTCCGAAATCGATTTGCGCTCTCTCAACTGCAGTCACATCTTGCAGCTTTTATTTCTGAAACTGATTTCCAAAATGTGACAGAAAGGTCTTTCTGGTTGTTCACACATCGAAATAAAATTAAATTGTGGGCATATTAACTTTTTAGGGTGTCACTTTTCAAGCCCCGCGGTATTTTTTCATTTTTTGATTGCGGTCTTAATACACACAGCATAATTTACGGGGCCAATAAAAATACTCACTTTAAAAATATTACTAGAGGTACTCCAAATGAAATGCACAGCATATAATTAAAACTTAATTTTTTTTATCGCTTCAGCGTCGTTTAAAACTTTTATTTTTTATAATTATGTATCAGAATTGAAGATTTTCGCACATTTCGCTGCACATATTTTTTGTTTCATAAAAATTTTTACAAAATACATTCCATAGCATACGGAAACTCAAATAAGAAATCGCTCAACATTCAGTTTAAAATCAAGGAATTTAATTTCTTTTTTCACATTTTTAGGCCCACTACAGAATTTGGAAAACTTATTTTTAATAAATAATGGCAATCTACAGTTTAATGTCAAAACATATTGTTCTAAAAAGTGGTATTCTTGCGAGATTTTTGAACTCAAATTTAAGTTATATAATTTATTATGTACGTTTTTATGTATAAATTAGTAAATTCAGCCTTTGTTTGCGTCTCCGTAGTTGACTGCTGCACATCATTTAGTTTAGAAAAAATAAAATAAAATTTAGCTGGCGGCAAATTATTTATTGAGTTTAATACTATAAATTCATGAGTAAGTTGGTACAATAAAATACAAATCCTTCATAAAGTTTTATTTATTTTGTATAACAGCAAAACAAAATCTCAATAAAAATAAAACGCACACGAAAACATAAAAATTTAACCAATATAAAACGCGTTTCTATGCTTTAAAAATACGCATAGAGATTTTACGATAAATTCCAAATGAACTCAGTTTGATTACAGCCAGAAATCATTAATAACGTTAACGCATATACGAACATACATAAAAGTAGTACATTATTGTAAGTTTATCTTCAGCAATGAATATTTAAATTAATGGTAATTGAAAATGTATTTGAAACTTAGCCCCCAACACTTCCTATTCCAAGTTGCGCAACTATCACCGGACTTGCCACACTTCGCATAACCAAATAAAAAACAGTTGTTAGTGAGTGTTGTTGGCGTGGAAGGGCGCCAATAGGTTCGAAAGCGTTTGACGCGCAAAGAGGCGCTTCGCTGTTGTTGGCAATACTCGCTGTTTGACTGTTGGATCCATCTGTTGTGACGGTAGAGCCGGTGTGCCTGTTAACTTGACTGTAATTGGCGTGTTCGAAAGACTTTTCGATGTTGGCTGCCGCTGAGGAAAAGGTGTAAGCGGGAATTGTTTACGTTGTGGTGTACGAGGCATTGTAAACGAGTGCGATTTCTTCACAATAGAAAGTGATGGAAAGCTGTAAATAGAAAGATTCAAATATGTAAGTTCATAGAACAACTGAAAAGCAGTTTAATAAGCAGCGAGATCTTAGCAACACCACAGTAACATACACACATAAACAGATACATACCACAACATAAATGCGCATAACACAAGCATAGCACAAAAGCACAAACATGTATCCAATTCATTTTATGTTCATTTTGCGAAATAATAATTAACTTTGGATTAGCTTCGCTATTTTAAACACATATTAACACATTGCGTCACAACACATAGCACTTACGCATCCATTTCCTCCTTAGGATAGCGTAGCAATGCAGTTTTCCAGGAGTGTATGTTGGCATATTTTGTTTTATCAATATCAACATGAATAATGGCATTCAATACGTCCACATCGCGTTTTGTCGGTTCATTGCTGTAAAAAAACAAATGGAAAATTATTAAATTCCAAATTCTACAATACCTATTGTTATAAATTTGTAACGTTATCGGACTATAAAATTGTCCAATATTTGTGTGGTTATTATACTATAATGAAAATGGATATGAAATGTAGAATAATGCAAACTGTTTACCCATATATAAAAATCTTGAATGTCTCCTCAGGTTCTTCCATTAAACTCCACTGGGATGGACTCTCGGGTGGCGTAGCCCACACCTCTTCTTCATTGTCTGAATCCGTATCTCCAAAATCGGACTGAAAACAAAAGATTATATACATATAAATTTTGCTACCTCAGCACAAAAAAAAACGGCTGGCACATGTAAAATAGTAATATTTCGAAGACAATAATAAATACGCCTAAATAGGGGGGTTTCAATGATTTTTCGACATGATTTTCTATCTAAAAAGTTAACTTGGAGTGAATTTTGGAATTCTTAGTGCCGTTTTCGCAAGTAGCTTTTAATATTTATATGCCTTTCAAACACATGTATTAAAACCAAGTTTGTGTTTAAAGGACATATCAATTCTAAAAGTTCTTTTAGGGTGCTTCTCTCACTAACAAATTTAGGTCAGAACGGCAGACGAAAAACATTGTTTACTATAAGAAATCGATAATCACAGCAGTTTGTACTATCATTAGCCCTTTGAGAGCCTACAAGCGGCGCTATATACGAGGGTAATTGGCGCCTGATCGTTTGCGTTAAAAACTCAAAATTTTGTTTTTGTTGTTGTTGTTGTAACAGCATAAAATTTTCCAAAAATAATTATGGGAACGTTGCTGTAGTGACAAGACTTGGGCAGGTATACATCCGGCAACCAAACTGAAGATTTCTTTGAATACAGCTGGTACGTATGTATTTGCCGACAATTCAACTCTTCAGAATGTTTTTTTTTGGTCGTTTTGTTGTCCATTAAGTAATTAATTTCAGGCCGGGCATTGCATGCCGGGTCACTAGTTTGCTTGGTAAATACTTTCATTTCTTAATTGAGAAACTTTTTTAAAGAATTGGTTTTTTTTTTATCAAAATAAGACCACAAATCTCATGTGAATTTATAAAAATAAACAGAAGGGGGAACGAAAAATATAAATTTTTTCTTACCCAAAAGATATCGTTATCGGGTGATTCATCACGTATATTGGCATCGCGCCATCGTTCACCTCCTCCCTCATTGCAATCAACGGGATCGCGCCATTGCTCGTTAACCTTCATTGCATCCGAGTCGTTGCACGGAAATGGATCACGCCACTCAATACTACCATCTATATTTCTTGAATTCGCTTTTTGAAAATCTTGTTGCTGCTGGTGTTGTTGTTTAGCTTGTTGATGGCTACGATAACGCGCTTCCATACGATTTCGTCGACTTGTTTTACGACTGAGATTAGTTTCCCATTGGCACTCGCATTCCTGTTCCTTCTCCCACGCACTTGAACACATTTCTTCGGTTTTAAGTTGTTCGGGCAGTATTTGATCGGCTGGAAAGTTAGCGTTTATAGAAATTTTATTCATTATTCTTTTTCATTGTGGTGTTAAAAAAATCACTCACTTGGTGACTCCAACATTTTAAGTATTCGCCAGCAAACACATTCGATGTGCTCACGCCGCTCACCAGGCGTAAGCATGTGCTTAATAAGACCTTTGATCTGGTAGAATAAACGTAATTAGGTGCTACAATTCCATGCGTTATTTGAAATACTCCCACTTACCTTTGATTTCATGGCAGATGTTACTTCTTGTGAATTTGCCAAGTAGACTGAAATTAAATTGCCAATTCTTGAGTGCACTTTTGCGAAATTTACATTTAGGAAACGCGTATCTTCCTTAAAACTACATATTAACGATTTCAGTCTTTTTAACTCGGACAGGAGGGTGTCATTAATAGATACCACGTTATCAATGTTATGTATAATTGTCTTTGTCATCCGTTTGGCAAACACTTGTACCGATTTTTCAACACATGTGTAGGGTGTTGTAGATTGAGGGGACGTTGTACTTGTTTCGCCGGTACCCGTCATGTTTGCGAAGCGCGCTCTTTCATTATTGAAACCATTTCGAAAATCATGCAGACTGCCGTTCTCAGGAAAGTGTAACTTATCCAGCGCATTGCATACACTGTCCAAAATTACCGCCGACTTGGCCATTGCTTGTGCAGTTTTCTTTGTCATTTCCTCCTCCTTAAGACGCTGTGTGAAGTAGTTTTCTAGTTTACTCAAACCATCATCGGATGCAATGTTGATGAAAGAGTCTAAAAAGTCCCAATATTCGCGCCATTCTACGTTTTGTTCCTTAGCCAGTTCACGGCCAATCAATTCTAAGCCCTTTTCAGTATCTGTAATTTTTCAATAAAAATAAAACGCACACGAAAACATAAAAATTTAACCAATATAAAACGCGTTTCTATGCTTTAAAAATACGCATAGAGATTTTACGATAAATTCCAAATGAACTCAGTTTGATTACAGCCAGAAATCATTAATAACGTTAACGCATATACGAACATACATAAAAGTAGTACATTATTGTAAGTTTATCTTCAGCAATGAATATTTAAATTAATGGTAATTGAAAATGTATTTGAAACTTAGCCCCCAACACTTCCTATTCCAAGTTGCGCAACTATCACCGGACTTGCCACACTTCGCATAACCAAATAAAAAACAGTTGTTAGTGAGTGTTGTTGGCGTGGAAGGGCGCCAATAGGTTCGAAAGCGTTTGACGCGCAAAGAGGCGCTTCGCTGTTGTTGGCAATACTCGCTGTTTGACTGTTGGATCCATCTGTTGTGACGGTAGAGCCGGTGTGCCTGTTAACTTGACTGTAATTGGCGTGTTCGAAAGACTTTTCGATGTTGGCTGCCGCTGAGGAAAAGGTGTAAGCGGGAATTGTTTACGTTGTGGTGTACGAGGCATTGTAAACGAGTGCGATTTCTTCACAATAGAAAGTGATGGAAAGCTGTAAATAGAAAGATTCAAATATGTAAGTTCATAGAACAACTGAAAAGCAGTTTAATAAGCGGCGAGAACTTAGCAACACCACAGTAACATACACACATAAACAGATACATACCACAACATAAATGCGCATAACACAAGCATAGCACAAAAGCACAAACATGTATCCAATTCATTTTATGTTCATTTTGCGAAATAATAATTAACTGACATACTAGCAATCATTTTATGAGGGCACATAATTTCTTCATTCTTTGGATTAGCTTCGCTATTTTAAACACATATTAACACATTGCGTCAAAACACATAGCACTTACGCATCCATTTCCTCCTTAGGATAGCGTAGCAATGCAGTTTTCCAGGAGTGTATGTTGGCATATTTTGTTTTATCAATATCAACATGAATAATGGCATTCAATACGTCCACATCGCGTTTGGTCGGTTCATTGCTGTAAAAGAATAAATGGAAAATTATTAAATTCCAAATTCTACAATACCTATTGTTATAAATTTGTAACGCTATCGGACTATAAAATTGTCCAATATTTGTTTCGTTATTATTATTCTAAAATAAAAATGGATATGAAATGTAGAATAATGCAAACTGTTTACCCATATATAAAAATCTTGAACGTCTCCTCAGGTTCTTCCATTAAGCTCCACTGAGATGGACTCTCTGGTGGCGTAGCCCACACCTCTTCTTCATTGTCTGAATCCGTATCTCCGAAATCGGACTGAAAACAGAATATTATATAACTGCTGGCACAAGTAAAATAGTAATATTTCGAAGATAATAATAAATACGCCTAAATAGGGGGGTTTCAATGATTTTTTGACATGATTTTCTATCTAAAAAGTTAACTTGGAGTGAATTTTGGAATTCTTAGTGCCGTTTTCGCAAGTAGCTTTTAATATTTATATGCCTTTCAAACACATTTTTTCAAAACTAAGTTTGTGGACATATAAATTTTAAAAGTTATTTTAGGGTGCTTCTCTCACTACCAAATTTATGTCAGAACGGCAGACGAAAAACATTGTTTACTGTAAGAAATCGTTAATCACAGCACTTTGTACCATCATTAGCCCTTTGAGAGCCTACAAGCGTCGCTATATACGAGGGTAATTGGCGCCTGATCGGTTGCGTTAAAAAACCTCAAGATTTTGTTTTTGTTGTTGTTGTAACAGCATAAAATTTTTCCAAATAATTTTGGGAACGTTGCTGTAGTGACAAGTCTTGGGCAGGTATACATCCGGCAACCAAACTGAAGCTTTCTTTGAATACAGGTGGTAGCATGGTACATATGTATATGCCGACAATTCAACTCTTCATGAATGTTATTTTTTTCGTTTTGTTGTCCATTAAGAAATTAATTTCAGGCAGGGCATTGCATGCCGGGTCACTAGTTTGTTTTTAGTTTGCTTGGTAAATACTTTATTTCTTAATTGAGAAACTTTTTTAAAGAATTGGTTTTTTATCAAAATAAAACCACAAATCTCATGTGAATTTATAAAAATAAACAGAAGGGAACGAAAAATATAAATTTTTTCTTACCCAAAAGATATCGTTATCGGGTGATTCATCACGTATATTGGCATCGCGCCATCGTTCACCTCCTCCCTCATTGCAGTCAACGGGATCGCGCCATTGCTCGTTAACCTTCATTGCATCCGAGTCGTTGCACGGAAATGGATCACGCCATTCAATACTACCATCTACATTTCTAGAATTCGCTTTTTGAAAATCTTGTTGCTGCTGGTGTTGTTGTTTAGCTTGTTGATGGCTACGATAACGCGCTTCCATACGATTTCGTCGACTTGTTTTACGACTGAGATTAGTTTCCCATTGGCACTCGCATTCCTGTTCCTTCTCCCACGCACTTGAACACATTTCTTCGGTTTTAAGTTGTTCGGGCAGTATTTGATCGGCTGGAAAGTTAGCGTTTATAGAAATTTTATTCATTATTCTTTTTCATTGTGGTGTTAAAAAAATCACTCACTTGGTGACTCCAACATTTTAAGTATTCGCCAGCAAACACATTCGATGTGCTCACGCCGCTCACCAGGCGTAAGCATGTGCTTAATAAGACCTTTGATCTGGTAGAATAAACGTAATTAGGTGCTACAATTCCATGCGTTATTTGAAATACTCCCACTTACCTTTGATTTCATGGCAGATGTTACTTCTTGTGAATTTGCCAAGTAGACTGAAATTAAATTGCCAATTCTTGAGTGCACTTTTGCGAAGTTTACATTTAGGAAACGCGTATCTTCCTTAAAACTACATATTAACGATTTCAGTCTTTTTAACTCGGACAGGAGGGTGTCATTAATAGATACCACGTTATCAATGTTATGTATAATTGTCTTTGTCATCCGTTTGGCAAACACTTGTACCGATTTTTCAACACATGTGTAGGGTGTTGTAGATTGAGGGGACGTTGTACTTGTTTCGCCGGTACCCGTCATGTTTGCGAAGCGCGCCCTTTCATCATTGAAACCATTTCGAAAATCATGCAGACTGCCGTTCTCAGGAAAGTGTAACTTATCCAGCGCATTGCATACACTGTCCAAAATTACCGCCGACTTGGCCATTGCTTGTGCAGTTTTCTTTGTCATTTCCTCCTCCTTAAGACGCTGTGTGAAGTAGTTTTCTAGTTTACTCAAACCATCATCGGATGCAATGTTGATGAAAGAGTCTAAAAAGTCCCAATATTCGCGCCATTCTACGTTTTGTTCCTTAGCCAGTTCACGGCCAATCAATTCTAAGCCCTTTTCAGTATCTGTAATTTTAATATGACGCTCTTTGAACCCCGGACTGTCGAGGTGTTCAGGCTCATTTAGCAATATGCTACGCGAATCATTGCAACAGTCTGAGTCTGGCGAAGAGACTGCGCTCGAATCGCGATAGGTGCTGAAATTATCCTTAAACAATGGCATTTTACGGCACAGGGCAGTTTTTAGCATGCTTCCTTTTAGTTTGAATGCATGCTGCTGAGGCTGCTCCAACTGCTGAGTCTCATTATTTGTGGCAATTGCGCTGAGGTCCAGGTCACCCAACATAGATGTGTTAGGCGAATCATTGGCTTCGGGTACATTCTGCTCCACTGGAGTATTAGGATGTGGTTCGCGATACGTGAAAAATAAGTCGCGTTTCATGTGTAGAACTGGCGTGTTTTGTGATGTTATATTTTTTAAAACATTGATATCTCCGCCTTGCGAGGTTATTTGTTCGTTACTATTATTATTTGTTTCCTCTTCGCTCACTGGTGCCGGGTTGATGATGGCGTTTTCAGTGCCTTCGCCTTCTTCAGCAGCCTTATGATTGCCATTTTGTTTATCGACAACTAAAGATATATCATCATCGATACCATTCTCAACAACTGTCTCAAAACTTGAACGCTGTGGAGTGGAATTAAATAGTGCCCGTCGATTAGCTTTCATAATTGGTGTGCCGATATTGGGACTACCGTTACTGGTATTTGTGAGCGATGTTTTAGATGGTGTACTGTTAGAGCAGCGAGATTTTACCGGCGATATGAATAAATTGCATGCAACTGGGGAAGATGTGTTGCTGCCAAGCCGTGGAGGCGTTTTCCAACGGCGACAAAATTGCTATTAAAAATGGAAGAATAGGTTTTGTTAAGTATGTATGTATGTATGTGTATTAAAGGCAGATTCATCGTTGTAGTTTTGAACTAAAGTTGAAGTTGAGTTTACAACTCAAATGGGTTCGGAACTAGTCTCAATTGCTCTCCCAGAGAGAAAAACACAACAACAACCAAATGAACTTCTGAACGCTTTTGAGTTGTGAATTCGACTTCAAATTTAGTTCAGAACTAAATATAACGATGAATGCGCATTTAGTTCAGAGCTTTTCTTCCATGTGGTTGTTGTTGCGTTTCTTTCACAGAGAGACAAATATTACAACAACCATATGGAAGAAAAAGTTCAGAACTAGAACGATGAATCCGCCTTAAATCGTAGTAAGTGAAAGGAAAAATATGACAAACTTACAGTGGCTTGCTCCTTGTTCATGGGGCCAGCTAAAGCTTCGATTTTTACTTCAGCACTTAGTGGATCACAGTTGAGATTCTAAAAATAAAAATTTGAAATATCCGTTTCTTCCGTAAAATCAGAGTTCGCATATTCTAATATTTAAAAATGATAAAATTAAACTTTTTAACCGACTTCACAAAAAGGAGAATGTTATCGCTTCGTAGAAAATTTTGTTTCATTTTTATTTTTTTATGTATTTTACCGCACAACTTTGGACCACGTTAACCGATTTCTATAATTCTTTTTTTAAAGGAAAGGTGTTACCTCACAGGGGTCTCATCCTAATTTGGTTCACTGCATCATAAAGAGATTAACGATAATCTTAAATTTTTCAATGAGAATTGAAGTCGGTTTTGTTTTTTGCTTAAAAATTACTTGTTTGATATAAATATTCTGGTTTCCATATAAATGTTTACACAATAATTAATCTCCTTACCGGGGGATTGCTGGAAGAAAATGGTTGTCCAACTTTTGGCGGTATAACATTATCCGCAGAACGTAAAACAGGCACGTAAAAACGCTCTTCTAATAGAGCCTCAATCTTTTTTGCCAATTCGGGTGGAGGATTTGAAACTCGGGAGCAAATTATCTACAAGAAAATCATTTAATGTGTAACTTTTACATCTAGAAGAGTTACTATCTGTACATACATCTTTCGGATATAGTCCCTCTGAGTTACGCGTCATTTTACATTCCGGAAATGATGTCAAAACCTCTACCATCTCAGCAGCGCCGTTCTTTGTAGCCAAATGTAATGGTGTTTCGCTACGTCCCTTCTCTGGTATGTTTAGATAATAGTCCAATAAATTCACACACAATTCCTTGCACATTTTCTCGTCGTTTTTCTTTCCCGTAAGCAAATCAACAAATTTTGTATCGCTTACTGTCTTCAAAATTAGTTCAGCTATGCGCGGCTTCTTGGAAATAGCACATATGTGCATGGCATTATAGCGATATCCCTCTTTAAGTGTGGTGGGGGTGTCGCCAGCGCTCACCAAATATCGTGGATTATCCCAAATCATATTTTTAACGCGTTCACAATCGCCTGATTCGATTACTTTTCGAAATTCAATCAATTCCTGTTTGGTGGGGCCACGAAATGCAGCTTTTTCCACAACAATAGAAGCTGTAAGCAAATAAGTGGAATTATTAATATTAAAAACAGATATGTATGGTACATTTGAAAGACGAAATACATACATTTGGCGTCGGCATGACGCGGTGGCGCTACCACCTCGTAGCCAGTTTGTGCAAATTTAAGGGCATCACTTTCAATACTAAATTCACGTAGACGCGCCTCTTTGTGCAGTTTCAGCACATCCAGCGCTTCACTTTTGCTACTAAATACATATGGGGTGTCGACTGTAAAGATAGAAAGGTTAATTAATAATGGTCAATAATATTCATGTATGTACATAAATATACATATCGTCGTTTAAAGTACAAAACCTCGTAACTGACATTTGTGCCAAAAAAGACATTTCCTCCCCGGAAGCTCCTGCAATCAAGTTATTATCCATTTATACTAAAATATCGATTCTTAGACATAAGAAGTAGAGATAAACACGGATAAAAGAGATAACCGTTTTGAAATGACACTAGCTTTACTCTCACCTACAAAATCATGGCGAGGTTCTGCATTTTCTTCATACGCGGTTCTGTAATTTAAAAGACGATATGTACATATGAATGCACATTTGTAGGTCATGGCACGCAATGTACAACTGCATTTCACTCATTTTTAATAAGCAATGTTGAAAAATTATGTCATACAAACGAAAAGTATATTTTTTTTTCGCTAGTATGCAACACAAAAATCGCGTGTTTTTTTACGACACTTCCGAATGTTGGCAATTTTTCAAAAATTTCGAATTGCCGCATACGTAAGCGCGGCCAATCTAATGGGAAAAATGTGCCGACCGCTTTCATTCAACAATTTTGAAAATCGTATACATAGTGTAAGTGAGCGAAAAGCAGGTGCGAGATTAGAATGTTTCCTATACATGTATAGTATGGAAATATGTATAGTTGAGCCATAAGCAAAGAAGGAAGAGCCAAAACAAAAACATTAAACTTATGACGGATAGCATAAACAAATACGCGTCAACGACTTGTTAATTTGGGGTTTGATATTTTTATGTCTGGTTTTACGTTCAATCAAACTGAGTAAACATAATAGCTGTCCACATATTTCATTGGATGATATTTCAAAAAACTTGGTTTTAGCGGGCAGGCTAGCATCCGCAGTGAAGGCCAAATCTGTTCATGTAGTTATTTTGTGCTCTAATTTACAAAGATGCTATTTACTTATATGTATATTTTCATTACTACGAATTCTAAATTTTTCCATAATACACTTTTCCGCTTGTCACAAAACTGAAAACAAAAGTATGTAGTTGTGGAGATATTGTAGTAATTGTGTACGGCGCGCCTCTTCGTCATTAATTAGTATATCATCACGTCATCTCCATGTTACGCTTATTGAACACACTCAGTTTTCTAATCGGCTGGGCTTAGAAAAAGCTACCGAAATAAGTTGTATGTAAACAAATAGCATTTTTCCTGTAGTTTATTATGTACATATGTATGGTACTGAATATTTATTGTAATTCAAGTATTTGAGGTATATCTGTGAGGATACCATCTTTGATATTTTAGGGTGCGCTTTCCGACAATTTGTGGCATGTCTAAGGCGTTTCCATACGAACTGAGATATGAACACTTATTATACACCAACAACAATTGCTTAAATGTTTGATAGACCATTCATATTTTACATTAAAAATTAGAAAACTACGATTATAAAAATAAAAAAATAATGCCATTATTTTATGCATCGAACAAAAGTATATGTATTTTTAATGTGCATTTTATTTTATGTCTCTGGTGAAAGCTTTCTTGCTTACTGACATACATAAATATTGCTTTATTCTCGATCGCAGTATATTTTTTTGTTCTGATAAGGAGCAATAAACTCGACAAATAAAAAGTATGTTTATGTACATATTATTGTAAAGCGAGTATGACAATGAAAAATTTAGTTTAATAAAAACTAATTTTCATGAGCAAATTAGCTGAATATATTTGTATTTCGATGGCTGAGTGGAAGATCGACCTATCTCGGCAGGTAGTCTGAAAACGCCCTATCTTAGAAAATTTTTCAACAACGGCCAATTTCAGAATTTGGTTGAAGAACGCCCTAATTTAGAATTTTATTGAAAAACGCCCTATCTCAGAATTCGGTTCGAAAACGCCCTATGTCAGCGCATTTTCCATGTACCTTCGTTTGAGATAGGGCGTTCTGCAACCAAATCTGAGATAGGGGGTTTTTCAAGCAAATTCTGAAATATAGCGTTCTTCAATGCAAAAATCCCGCGGAAGGGTATTCTTTAAAAGTTTTCTGAGATAGGGCGTTTTCGAATTGGCTGCCCAGATGGATCGATCTTTCATTTAGCCATCGATTTACAATTTTAAATTTTCAAACAAAAACAAATTGCGATTCTTATTTACATTTCTATAGGTATGTCACATATGCATAGTACGTATATACATATGTATGTATGTTAGTGGCAAGATTTCCCAGACAATGAAAACATATTCATTGTACCTGCTTTTCTGGGAAAGTACAAAACATATGTATAAATTCTTTCTTTTCACTTTTTTACAGATACATTACCAGTGCAGTTAGTCACTAAAATCGATCGCATGGCTACTCACGGTTAAGTATCCATTAAAGTTTTATTTTGCATTTCTATAAGGTTGGATTGCAGGTTAGTTTGAGGCTGGTAAAAAAAATAAAATTAAGGACATGACACGTCCCACCTTTTTAACTTCAAAGGGTAAATACTAAGTAATTCAATGACCCATTCTTTTTTCTCCACGGACTGCATTCAAGACCGCAGGCCCACGTACGCCAACGCTACGAAAAATCAGTACATAATCGTTCCCACGACAGTCGGGTGTAAAATACAAAATCCGAGTAGGTATCTTGGTTCCGCAAAACCTCGGTAACTGACATTTGTCCCAAAAATGAGAGTTACTCAGCGGAAGCTCCTGGCATCAAACCTTATTCATTCATACCAAAGTATCAATATTTAGATATAAGAGATATAGATACCTGGGCATAAAAGGGAGAGCCGTTTTAAAATAAAATAGGTTTTACAGGATTGTTACTCCAGCATCACTTGCCAAAAATTCTTTGGGCGATTTGTATGCTGTTACAACAACAATCAGTAGGTATATATTCAATAAGGTAAAAGTGACAAAGTGACAACTAATTTGTAGGTAAAATTTGTTTCAAGACGATGTATTTTGTTTTATGTTGGACTCTTCAGTGGCAGTATAAAAGAGAGAACTGTCGAAATCACTAGCATCTTGTTTAATGTGACTTGGTTGAAAAATTTTGTACATTGTTTATTTTATCAGTAATTTACTGTCTGTACTTTGCAAATAAACTGTGAAGATTTTAACTGATGTTGTAATAATGCCTGCACCTTTCCGATCGGTATATGCAAAGATGATTCCATCACAACAAATATGGTTGAAATGTCCGGGCAGTAATAATAAAATAAATATTACCGAGGAGCAATGAACTGCAACATATGGATACTTATTATTTACATTAATATTTATAGATGAATTCGTTGGAAACATACGTACCTACATACATATTTACAAGTTGCTGTGTGGGACTTTTTAAACCCTAACCTTATAAAATACACAACAAATATTCTTACGTCCATTTTCAGTTTTCTAATACTTTTTTCTCATAACTTCAAGTAAAATACAAATATTTTAATTTGTTTACCTTCCTTTCCAGGCACATATAGTCCATAAAAGGGCATCTCCGTTCCTCGTTTACCCCTGGCTGATAGGCGTCGATTCCTTTATAATTTTCTCACCGATTTGCACACGATATATGTATTTATGCGCAATTCCACAGTGAGTGTTTTTACTTAACGCTTACGCGAATTGAATTTAACCAGCTTTCGGTGC